GGTCTGTAGCGGTGGCCACTTGCCATAGGCATTAACTGCGCCTCAACCCACAATTGTTTTTTTGCAACCCTGTGCCATTCCAGAGTAGTCTGCTCCAGCGGCGAATATTTAGRATTCTGCGAAGCTCGTCATACACCTCTCCCTTGCCCTTTGCATGTCATTCTCTATCCTGCCMTTGATATATTTTTCTTTCCTGCCCTTTGCCCCCACCTCCCCTGCCCCATACTCCTATAGAACTCCGCCTTCTATCCCTTACCCTCCACCCTCACCTCCACTCCCTTTGTGCTACTAACAAATACATACGAATGAGCATCATTAAGAGAACAGACGATATGAAGATCAGAAATGAAATGAACGGAAGTATGAAGATGAAGGACGGACACAAAGACTGTATAAGCTGAAAGTGAAATGAACAGGAGTATGAAGGTCTGAAGAGAAATGCACAGGAGCATACCTTCCCTTTTACTCTGCCTCCTGAAATAACGTGCACGTGGGCCCTGAAGGCACACGGGGATGTGGGCAGCCRCCGCTCAACCACAATCAACGTGGGCAGCCTTGTACGTGTGAGGCATAGTAAAAGGGGAGGGGCAAGAACAATGGAAGGGGTACCCCAAGGACAACCAAAAAACTGTCTAATTATAAAATTGCTTTAATATGTTGGACTGTGACTGTCTCATTTCAAATGCTCTCGTTGTCTGCAATAGGACAAAGACAGCACTGATTCTGAATATAATATATATTCATCTGGGTGGAATTGGGGCTGTTGTGGGGAAAATCTATAACACACACACACACACACACACACACACACACACACACACACACACACACACACACACACACACACACACACACACGGGTGTGTGGGCACGTGGCGCTGAACCACACAAACGTGGCCAACACACACACACTGATAGAGACACACATGTAAAGACTCAACCGTTGCACTGACCCTCCTCTGTGAACCTAGAGAAACTGTATCTTGATGTGGCACCCTGTGTGGATAAACCCCCATCCTTGCGCCCCCTCCCTCCCCCCCCCCCAACACACACACACACACACTGACACAGACACACATGCAGAGACTCAAACCGTTGCACTGGCCCTCGTCTGTGAACCTAGAGAATCAGTATCTTGATGTGGCACCCTGTGTGGATAAAMCCCCATCCTTGCCCAATTGGCCAATGGGACACGTGCCTGACTCGTTTGGGAGCAGTGTGGAGGCACAGATTCAACATCTATTTCAGGCACTTCCCTCTCTGCGCGATCAGCTGCTGTACTTTCACACTGCTGTTTTTTGTTGACGGTTCGGAAAATAATATGCTGACAACTTGACATTCATAGCCCCTTTTTTTTAATGTGATGATGAAATCAGCTAGCCCTTAACATTATTACATCCAATGAAGTATCCATCCGATTCCATCAGGATTTGAATTCCCATGTGTTCATCATTAACAGCTGTATGTGTCTATCATACAGCCACATTTGAAGATAAGCTGATGATGATGAATTACGCAGGAGGACGAGAAGGCACAAGCAGATTGGATCTGAGCAGCAACAACAAACGTAATCTAAAAAAAAAAGTTAAAACTTAAAACAGTAAAATATTAAAAATACTAAAATTCAAACTTCAAAGCCTTGAAGCATTTTTTTAAACAGTGTGGCAACCCCCCTTTGAACCCCTCTCTCTTTTGTCCAGGGGTCTTTAACTGAAATTGGGTGTGTAGGCTTTGCCGCTTCGCTAAAGAGCATTCACATCGTTCCAGCTCCAGACCCTCTGCTGCAAGCAAGAAGCTTCTTCATGATGTCCTCCTGTGAAGCCTCTTTTTGGCCTCTTCCTAACGAGTCGGTGGGGGCTTTCGCCGCTTCGCTAAAGACCATAGTGAAGCCTCTTGTTGCCTCTTCCTAACAAGTCGGTGGGGGATTTGCTGCTTCGCTAAAAAAGACCATTCTAGCCTTTCCAGGTTCAAACTTCAAGCCCTCTGCTGCAAGGAGCTTTTTCTTAAAAATGACCATCTGTCAAACCTTTCCTTGCCTCTTCCTGGCAAGTTGGTGGAGGCTTTGCCAAAGAGGAATCGCATCTTCCAGATCCATACCGTCCGCGGCAAGCAGCGTCTTGATGATGGCCTTCTGCGAAACCTCTTGTTGCCCCTCGTCCTGGCGAGTCGGTGGCGACATTGTCGTAAAGAGCGATCGATCGCGTCTTCCAGCGCCGGACGCTCCGCTGCAAGAAGCATCGTGATGATGTCCTTCTGCAAAACCGCTCGTCGCCTCTTCCTAGCGAGTCGGTGCAAGAAGCGTCTTGATGACGTCCTTCTGTGAAACCTCTCGTAGAGTCTTTCTAGCGGCGGAAGTCGGTGGGGGCTTTGCTAAAGAGCATTCTCGTCTTCGAGCTCCAGACCCTCCGCTGCAAGAAGCTGCTTGATGATGTCCTTCTGTGAAGCCTCTTCTTGCCTCTTCCTAGCGAGGTCTCTCTTCTTGAGGACAAGAAGGTGCCTCTTCGTTACAGTCTCTACTTGGTCTAAAGATGCTTGCCGCTGCCTTGCTAGCAGCCGCCTCTCCTCCTCGGGATCTGTCTGCAAGAGTCATTCATTGACCGCCACTGAGTTAGGCGACTCTGGACTACCGTCTTCACCCGAATAGAACCCCCGGTCATTACTATTAAATAGTATTAATACCTGTATTTGGGGCAACTTTCAGTATAGCTGGAAGAGCTATGAACTTGTCTTTTTTGAACACGATCCAAGGGGGCCACAAAATCAACAAAAAGAAAAGGCAAACAGCGCGCTCGAAGACGACCGGCGGCCGCAAGGAGCAAAACGGCGGCCAAAATCGAACCTTGGCGACTCGACCGCCGTGCCAAACAAACATACAACTGAAAAAACAAACATCCTGGCTGACTTTCACATGGGCGTTGGGCGCAGCCCGCACTGGGTGCCAAGGCTGGGCAGGTTTCACTTGGCACCGTCATGCGAGACCCCTCGCGAGACCCGGGTTAACTTTCATAAAGAGTATGTATACATAGACAAAGCTGACACGATCAAAGCCACCATACCCACATCCCATCACTGGAAAAAGAGTTTAAAAGACAGAAAAAATACCGTACGAGCTGTATGACTGATGTGTGGAAGAAAGACAAAGAGTCAGACACATCATTCTCATCACAACACAGATCGAACCAGAAGGTTCGATTAACACAACTCTGCAGTTGGGACTCTGGGGACGGGACTCTGCAGACTCTGTAATGGGCCTCTGCAGTAGTCTGCAAATTTGCACGCCATGTGCAGAGTCTCGAACCCCCAACCAGAATCCGCCGACTGCAGCATGGTCCCATCTGAAGTTCTAAATATGAATCTGTAGTTTGAAACCTCCTACCCTAACCCCTAACCTGACTGTTGCACAGATAGCGTCAATCCGAAAGGTTGGGGTTGAAGCTCCCGGTTTTGCAGTCGTTTGACCCCCCGGATGGCCTTATGGTTTTCTTATAAATTGAGGTGAAAAATGGGGGGTCGGTTAACCTTTTCTCCCCCCTCGACATTGTTAGATGAAGAAATCCATGACGAAATCGATCAAGGTCTTCGTTCTGGGCGTTGGGCCAACGCGTTGGCCCTCAAAATTCTCAAATACAATCTTCTGATGGAGGGGCCCCATCTTTACCAACCTGTAAGGGTCTTTACCCCAGTCAGCCTCTCAGAGATTTTTCAGCCCCCTGGAACCGACACTAGCCGTTCAGTCTCTTTCTTGAGAAATCAATACGGATCTTCTTTCAGGGCATTGGTCCGCCAATAAAATCTGAGGGAGGGAGGGTCTCGGTGAACCGTCCACATCCACACACATACATCGACAAAGGGTCCAAAGAAAAGAAAGGGGGAAAAAAAGTTGTACCTTTGCTTTGGAGAGCTGACGAGCACGAAGACTCATCTCGCGGACCTGTTGCTCTGCCCAAGCACTTGATGCCATATCCCCTCTCTGCTCAAAGGCCTTCTTCTTCCTCTGAACCCAAGCCTGCATGTTCCATTTAGAACGTTTCCCATTTAGCAAGTTTCCCACGTGCCAATCAAATCACGCCACACATCCAGCAAGCGAGTCCAGTCTGAAATTTGAGAAATGGAGGGGCAAAAAAAACAGTAACAGTGTCCTTCCGGACATCCGTTAAAATTGGAACGATACAGAGAAAGGTAATTAGCATGGCCCCTGCGCATTTAAAAAA